GTTGCCTGACTACCACAAATCCTACAAGTCGCCTGATCCCAAAAGCCCTAAAATTTACCTGGCTACCACAAGTCCTCAAGTGCCTGGCTTCCACATGCCCTACAAGTCGCCTGGCTACCAAAATCCTAAAAAATTCCCGGTACCAAAAAAAAAATCCTATAAGTCACCTGGCTACCACAAGTTGCCTGGCTACCAAAGTCCTCAAGTCACCTGGCTACACTCTCATGTTTGTTAATTTTATTCTATTGGGGGTATCTAGATGGATTAAGCAAAATGTCATTTAACATTTTATATGATATTTAATGCTCCTTAGTGATTATTATTGTGTTGTTATTATCATTCTTAGGTAGTAGGTTAGTAGACAGCAGCCACCCAGGGAGGTACTACCGTCCTGCCAAGTGAGTGTTAAAAGGGAAAGCCTTTGTAATTGTTTGCACAATGGTGGATTGGGGTGTCTTTTTTTTTTGTCTCTACCATGAAAAGATTTAGGTACATCTTGTATTCTATTACACTTAGGTCACACTACACATGCATGTACAAGCATATAGTATATACACACCCCGCTGGGTTTTCTTCTATTTTCTTACTAGTTCTTGTTCTTGTTTATTTCCTCTTACCTCCATGGGGAAGTGGAACGGAATTCTTCCTCCGTAAGCCATGCGTGTTGTAAGGGCGATTTTAAAAATGCCAGGGCAAGGGGTGTAACCCCTTTTCCTGTATTTTACTAAATGAAAAGGGGGAAAAAAAAACTTTCTTTTTTCCTTTTGGGGCCCCCCCACCTCGGTGGGATGGCCGGGTGTTTTGAAAGAAAGAATTATTATCATTATTAATATGGTGTCTTCAAGACTAGTAAGACACTCTTAGCGATTTTAATGTGTATCTGCATGCCAGCACAGTGTGTAAATTTACTTTGGTACACAAAGTTCAGTTATAAATATGTAGGGATGTAGCCCACCAAAACTCTACCTACACCTACCTATATGCTACACGATTTTTTAATGGGGCCCGGGAGCTATATTATTACCATTGGAACCATTTTACTGAGTTAATGCATATAACAACTACCTAAGATCCCATTCCCAACAAAGGGAGAAGTAATGAATAATTCAAGCGAGAATTTAAAAAAAAAGCATTATTTATTAGGGGGTCCGTAATGTTTTCCCTCCACTTGTTGAAATGTCTGACAGATTGAAATTTGAAGTGCAGGATGGAGCCTTTATAGCGCCAGGAGGTGTATATAAAATACTAGTTATATTTTATGTAAGGGTGTTTCTTATAAAATTTTCGGAAAAAAATTAATAGATGGGTTAATAAAAATGTCTTTTAAATTAAAAATAAGAATTTAATAAAACCAAGAGTGGTTATTAGTATTAGTATTACAAAATTTTTTCCCTCCACCCGCAACCCCCCCCTCCTAGTGTATATCAACAGATGTTTATTTTTTACAACTGGCCGTTCCCCCCAAGGAGGGGGGCCCCGAAAAGAAAAATTTTCACCATCATTCACCCCATCACTGTTTTTCCCAGAAGGGGCTTTACACTCTTTTTTTAAACTGCAACATTAACATCCCTCCTCAGGTGAGGCACTGTATTCCCTCTCCGGATCAAGTCCGGCCTGCCGGTTTCCCTAAACCCCCTTAAAAAAAAGTTACTTTGCTCACTCCAAAGCCGTCAAGTTAAAAACCTTTTTGTCCCATTCACCCCTATCAAACACGCCAGATGCCAGCTGGAAACCAAGCCCTCGCACAAAAAACCACCTTTCCCCCTCCCTCCAAAACCTTTTCCCTGGGCCCGACCCCCCTCGCCTTCCCGCATTTTTATATGCTTGAAATGTGTTTCTTATTTTATTTTGCTATAAGATGTAAAATTGCATTTAATCCCCAAGAGTGTTATTTTACATAATAGAGGGGAGGTTATGGAAAATGTAAAAAACTGGGGGGCCCCCGTCTGTTTTTGAAAGACCACTTGCATATAGAAGTTTTGGTATAATTTGAGATCGCTGTATTGGTGGAATGGTTTTAAGGGGAAAAAGCCCAAAAGCGGGGGGGCCCCATGTATTTCAGCAAAAAAAAAATGAATCTAATTAACCCCTTCCATAACCCAAAAAAAGTTAACAAAAAAAAATTTTGAGAGAATAACTATGTTTTATTACAGAAACAATGAGAAAACAAAACAAAGACAATTTTAATGATAAAAGAACATTACTTTTCCTTTCTTGAAGACATGTTGGCGTATTTAAGAAGGCGAGGGGGGGAGGGGGGGGGGGGGAGTTGAGGGGATTGTTTGGAAGGGGGGTCTCCCTCCATAAGGTAAAGGTATCAAAGCCCTTTGGGGCTACTTCCCTTTGTTTTTTACTGGCACTAGGACCAGCTTGAGTCACTACACACCTGTAGCACAAAAAATCTGTCTAGAGAGGCCTGTTTCTGGTGTCTCCTTAAGATTTGCCTAAAATGAGACAAGACTGTCACTGAAATGAAAACGGCTTGCAACAGTTTTGTTAGGGTGTAATTCTCCACAAAACTTTGACCTCATCCACTTTGCACAAGTGTCCTTAATCACTGAAGAAGTCACATTCTCCCCTCTCTCTTCCTCCTCCTTCTCTGAAGCAATTTCCTCAGCTGCAATCTGTTGCTGTTCATTTGAAGGCCTTGCAGCTCTTCAGTGGTTAGCTTCCCCGTGGTCCCCCTCCAATTCTTCCCAAACCCGGCCACTCCATCCCCCGATGGACTTCCCCCCAAAAACACAATAGAGTCCACAATAGACATAGGGTCATCGGGCCGCTTTAAGCCTTCAAAATCCCCTTTCGAGGACACTTTTTGGCCGCAATTTTCTCCCAAGCAGAGTTTATCGTCCTGGAAGTCACTTTTGCCAAGCCTTATTATAAAGGGTTGTGCAATTGAGGATATTTAAGTGATTCCTTCGAACTCTCTTAGGGTCAATTTAGTGTCCCGGGCACTTAAAAGCACCTTTGAAACATTGCTTTGGTGTACAGTTTTTTTAAGTTTTAAAAAGACCTGCTGGACCTGGACAAGAACTTACTGTGATGGCTTACACTCCCCAGACAATAGGTCTTCCAAGTCTGGAGGATGGAGGAGCATTGTCCATTACCAGGAGGACTTAAAAGGGAATTTATTTTTCCCTGAGGTTTTTTTTTCACATTCGGGCAAAAAACTTTATTGACCCCTCAAAAGAAAAATTTGCCTCGGGCCCATTTCCCTTTTTGTTTGCCTTCCCATACCACAATTTACTCTTATGAATTGTTTTTTTTTGAACACTCCCGGGTTTTCAGAGTGATACATGGGGAACGGCTTCACTTTGAATTCCCCCTGTCATTACCAAGAACAAAAGAGTTAGCCTGTCCTTATAGGGTTGTGTCCCGGCAGTGCTCTTTCCCCCTGTGTATGTAGGTCCCCTTTGGCATTTTTTCCAAAAGAGGGCTGTTTTGTCACAATTGAACACGTTTTGGGGAGGAAACTTTCAGCCTTACGACCCCCGAATTCATAACAGATTCTTTGGGGTTTACGTTTGTCCGCCTTTTCAGCCTCGCGCCTTTCTACATGTGTATACCACTTTACTTTTTGAATCTGTCAAAACCCGCCTTGCTGGCCTTAAATTCCCTAAAGCAGCCTCATTCCAGGCATTTTCTTTAAAGACCCCCTCAACTGCCTTTTCCTTTTCCTAAATTTCCCCTCCCCCAACACTATCTCCCCCTAATGTTTTTTTGTTAGCCACACCAACAACAAATTCTCCACATCCTCGATTGTTTGTGATCTCTGTTTTGTTAGCATATTTTCCCTTTCGCAAATCAGCTTCCGTTTTTTGCTTTCTTTGCAAGGATGGAACTGATTGTTGATGTTGATTTCCCATACATCCTGGTGAGCTTGGCCATACGTATGCCACTTTCATATTTTGCTACAAGTTCTTTCTTGAATTCTATTGTGTTTCTCACCTTCTTTACCAAACGGCTGGCACTCTGAACTTTCTTTGGCCCCATGGTGGCTTATTTCAAAGTCGCAATCAATAAACAAGCACAGAAAACAATGGATGAAAGCGTGGAGTATTGCCAACTCAATGTGAGACAGGGGCAGATCAAGTCTGGTACACATGAGAAGCGGCGTCCTGGGCAGGTGGATGCGTCTGATATGGACAGTTTCCGAGCGGATATATGAAGCCCAGGGGAAAATTTTGCCAAAAAAGTGCTTGAAATCCAAATTGTACAATTTCTGCACCAGACAAAAATGGGGGGGCCACTGTACTTCAACACTATGTTCTATACTCTAACACTACTGTTATAATATACTGACACTACTGTTACTATACTATAATACTGACATACGTTATCTCTACTACACTGACATATGTTACTACTTCTACTATTGACATACTGTTACTACTTACTACCCACACTACTGTTTTACTATACTAACACTACGGGTTTCTACTCTAACATACTGTTACATTACTTTTTCTTAACACTACTATTACACTACTGAACTTTGTTTACTATTCTCTACTAAAAAAAAATGTTTTTTACGTTCAAATAAATACGTTACTATATAACACTACTTTTCTTATACTATACTAACACTACTTTAATATACTTCTAACATACTATTCTCTACTAACACTAACACTGCTGTTGCTATGTACTACTAACACTGCTGTTGTATACTATATAAAACTGCGTTTTACTGTATACTAAGACTATTTACACTACTACTAACATGTGTTTCTACTCTATTACTAGCATATGTTACTACTACAAATTACTAGCATATGTTACTCACTATTACAACATTTTCTTTACTAATACTATACTAACACTACTATTACTATACTACTAACACTATGTTATACATATGTTACTACTGTTACTAACACTATGTTACTAACACTATGTTTCTACTACTATACTCCCCTGCTGCGTTGCCATGCTACTTACTGTTAATATTACTACTATATTTATTCATGTTAGTAATGAATAATTTGTCTTTTCATCAGGTTATTCGACGCTTCATCAAGGAGGAGGTGAAAGCTTTCAGTGTGATGAGTAGCAGCAGGAAAGAAGAGAGAGTTATTGTAGTGCCAACATGTTGTGATGTTCTTGTGTTGGCAGAGCACAACATCCCAGCTGTTTCTCTTCCTTCTGCCAGTAAGTTGATGTGTTGCGATGTTCTAGTGTTGGCGGAACACAATGTCCCTACTGTCTCTCTCTCTTCTGCCAGTAAGTTGATGTGTTGCAATGTTCTAGTGTTGGCGGAACATGACATCCCTGCTGTCTCTTTCTTCTGCCAGTAAGTTGATGTGTTGCAGTGTTCTAGCGTTGGCGGAACACAATGTCCCTACTGTCTCTCTCTCTTCTGCCAGTAAGTTGATGTGTTGCAATGTTCTAGTGTTAGTGGAACACAACAGCCTCTTTCTCTTCCTTCTGCCAGTAAGCAATGTAACGTGTAGTATTTTTATGCTAGTCTGTTTCAATATAAATTTTTTTTTTTTTTTTTTTTTTTTTCAACAAGTCGGTCGTCTCCCACCGAGGCAGGGTGACCCAAAAAAGAAAGAAAATCCCCAAAAAGAAAATACTTTCATCATCATTCAACACTTTCACCACACTCACACATTATCACTGCTTTTGCAGAGGTGCTCAGGATACAACAGTTTAGAAGCATATATGTATAAAGATACACAACATATCCCTCCAAACTGCCAATATCCCAACCCCCCCCTTTTAAAGTGCAGGCATTGTACTTCCCATTTCCAGGACTCAAGTCCGACTATATGAAAATACCGGTTTCCCTGAATCCCTTCATTTAAATATTACCCTGCTCACACTCCAAACAGATCGTCAGGTCCCAAGTATCATTCGTCTCCATTCACTCCTATCTAACACGCTCATGCCGCTTGCTGGAAGTCCAAGCCCCTCGCCCACAAAACCCTCCTTTACCCCCCTCTTTCCAACCCTTTCGGGGACGACCCCTACCCCTTTCCTTCCCCTATAGATTTATATGCTTTCCATGTCATTCTACTTTGATCCATTCTCTCAAAAATGACCAAACCACCTCAACAACCCCCTCTTCTCCCCTCTGACTAATGCTTTTATTAACTCCACACCTTCTCCTAATTTCCACACTCCGAATTTTCTCATAATTTTTTACACCACACATTGCCCTTAAAACAGGAATCTCCACTCCTCCAACCGTCTCCTCGCTGCTGCATTTACCACCCATGCTTCACACCATATAAGAGTGTTGGTACTACATACTTTCATACATTCCCTTCTTTGCCTCCATAGATAATGTTTTTTGACTCCACATATACCTCAATGCACCACTCCTTTTTTTTCCCTCATCAATTCTATTGATTAACCTCATCCTTCATAAATCCATCCGCCGCCCACGTCAACTCCAGTATCTGAAAACATTCACTTCTTCCATACTCTCCTCCCCAATTTGTACCCAAAATTTTTCTTTATCTAAATCATTTGATATCCTCATCACCTTACTCTTTTCTATGTTCACTTTCAACTTTCTACCTTTACACACATTCTCAAACTCATCCACTAACCTTTGCAATTTTTCTTTAGAATCTCCCAAGCACAGTATCATCAGAAAAAAGTAACTGTGTCAATTCCCATTTTGAATTTGATTCCCCATAATTTAATCCCACCCCTCTCCCGAACACCCTAGCATTTACTTCTTTACAAACCCCATCTATAAATATATTAAACAACCATGGTGACATTACACATCCCTGTCTAAGACCTACTTTTACCGGGAAGTATTCTCCCTCTCTTCTACACACCCTAACCTGAGCCTCACTATCCTCATAAAAACTCTTTACAGCATTTAGTAACTTACCACCTATTCCATAAACTTGCAACATCTGCCACATTGCTCCTCTATCCACTCTATCATATGCCTTTTCTAAATCCATAAATGTAATAAAAACTTCAATATAAATACTTCAATATAAATACTTATACAAAATCTGAAGAGGATAGAAATTGTGAAGCATTTTTTGTGCATGATCTTTTCTAGACATTGGAAATATATGCTTGTTTATGATCTAAAGATTGCAAAGACATGTTTATTTATGATCTAGACATTTCACAGATATGTAAGTGTTCCAAATACTACCAAACATGCACTTCAAACACACACATCAAAGAATTCTGGTTTGTTGTGTTGAAGAAACAAGGTTACCACTTTATGGGACAAGAAAGTGAAGAATGAATGAAACTTGTATTCTGCAAGCACGTGCAATTTAGAATGTGGAACACAAAAAGCTTGAATGATTAGAAGAGTATGTGTGAGGGAAGTGGTGGTGCTGGTTGGTTAGTTAGTTGTTTCTTCTTTGTTGGTGGTGGTTCTTCCTCCTTTCTTCTTCTTGAAGTTGTCATGGTTGTGTGTGATCAAGTGTAGTTGCCTCTGCATGACCCCTACAGGTTTTGTGCTTTCCCCTAAATATCATAATAATTTGTGTAGCTGTGTTTGATGTCATGATGAGAGCAGTTTCATAGCATTTCCTCTTGTATTTTTCTCCTTTCATTATAAATTTTGATTAGGAAAATCTCATCAGATAATTAACCCGTTAACTACTCAAGCGTAGATCTACATTCTCACTGCTAGTGCTCCGAATATTTTGTGTGTGTAATAAGACCAAAAAAAAAAAAAAATTAGGATCAGTACTTACCAGATGGCCGCGAAGTTGGAGCTGGATGCTCACCTGACACCAATATGGAGTCCTGCCACTTGCAGAAATGTTGCCAACATACCTTTTTTCCTTTATTTTTTTTTAGTTTATATAATTTTTTTTTATTAACACATCGGCCGATTCCCACCAAGGCAGGGTGGCCCAAAAAAGAAAAACTTTTATCATCATTCACTCCATCACTGTCTTGTCAGAGGGGTGCTTTACACTACAGTTATAAAACTGCAACATTAACACCCTTCCTTCAGAGTGTAGACACTGTACTTCCCATCTCCAGGACTACAGTCTAGCCTGCCAGTTTCCCTGAATCCCTTCATAAATGTTACTTTGCTCACACTCCAACAGCACGTCAAGTATTAAAAACCATTTGTCTCCATTCACTCCTATCAAATACGCTCACGCACGCTTGCTGGAAGTCCAAGCCCCTCGCGTACAAAACCACCTTTACCCCCTCCATCCAACCCTTCCTAGGTCGACCTCTACCCCGTCTTCCCTACACTACAGATTTATACACTCGAAGTCATTCTGTTTTGTTCCATTCTCTCTACATGTCCAAACCACCTCAACAACCCCTCCTCAGCCCTCTGGATAATAGTTTTGGTAATACCACACCTTCTCCTAATTTCCAAACTACAGATTCTCGGTATTATATTCACACCACACATTGCCCTCAGACATGACATCTCCACTGCCTCCAACCTTCTCCTCGTTGCAACATTCATCACACATGCTTCACACCCATACAAGAGTGTTGGTACACCTATACTCTCGTACATTCCCCTGTTTGCTTCCATGGACAAAGTTCTTTGTTTCCACAGACTCCTAAGTGCACTACTCACCCTTTTTCCCTCATCAGTTCTATGATTCACCTCATCCTTCATAGACCCATCTGCTGACATGTCCACTCCTAAATATCTGAATACATTCACCTCCTCCATACTCTCTCCCTCCAATTTGATATCCAATCTTTTGTCACCTAATCTTTCTGTTATCCTCGTAACCTTACTCTTTCCTATACAGTGGACCCCCGCTTAACGATCACCTCCCAATGCGACCAATTATGTAAGTGTATTTATGTAAGTGCGTTTGTACTTGTATGTTTGGGGGTCTGAAATGGACTAATCTATTTCACAATATTCCTTATGGGAACAAATTCGGTCAGTACTGGCACCTGAACATACTTCTGGAATGAAAAAATATCGTTAACCAGGGGTCTACTGTATTCACTTTTAATTTTCTTCTCTTACATACCCTACCAAATTCATCCACCAACCTCTGCAACTTCTCTTCAGAATCTCCCAAAAGCACAGTATCATCAGCAAACAGCAACTGTGACAACTCGCACTTTGTGTTTGATTCTTTATCTTTCAACTCCACACCTCTTGTCAAGACCCTTAGCATTCACTTCTCTTACAACCCCATCTATAAATATATTGAGCAACTACAATGACATCACACATCCTTGTCTAAGGCCTACTTTTACTGGGAAATAATCTCCCTCTCTCCTACATACTCTAACCTGAGCTTCACTATCCTTGTAAAAGCTCTTCACTGCTTTCAGTAACCTACCTCCTATACTATACACCTGCAACATTTGCCACATTGGCTACCCTATCCACCCTGTCATACACCTTTTCCAAATCCATAAATGCCACAAAAACCTCTTTAGCCTTATCTAAATACTGTTCACTTATATGTTTCACTGTAAACACCTGGTCCACACACCCCCTTACCTTTCCTAAAGTCTCCTTGTTCATCTGCTATCCTATTCTCCGTCTTACTCTTAATTCTTTCAATAGTAACTCTACCATACTTCCCTTCGCCTTTATACAAAGGAATATGCATGCTCTCTGCCAATCCCTAGGTACGTTACCCTCTTCCATACATTTATTAAATAATTGCACCAACCACTCCAAAACTATATCCCCACCTGCTTTTAACATTTCTATCTTTATCCCATCAATCCCGGCTGCCTTACCTCCTTTCATTTTACCTACTGCCTCACGAACTTCCCCCACACTCACAACTGGCTCTTCCTCACTCCTACAAGATGTTATTCCTCCTTGCCCTATACACGAAATCACAGCTTCCCTATCTTCATCAACATTTAACAATTCCTCAAAATATTCCCTCTCATCTTCCCAATACCTCTAACTCTCCATTTAATAACTCTCCTCTCGCTATTTTTAACTGACAAATCCATTTGTTCTCTAGGCTTCCTTAACTTGTTAATCTCACTCTCAAAACTTTTTCTTATTTTTAACAAAATTTGTTGATAACATCTCACCCACTCTCTCATTTGCTCTCTTTTTACATTGCTTCAACCACTCTCTTAACCTCTCTCTTTTTCTCCATATACTCTTCCCTCCTTGCTCACTTCTACTTTGTAAAAACTTCTCATATGCTAACTTTTTCTCCCTTACTACTCTCTTTACATCATCATTCCACCAATCACTCCTCTTCCCTCCCGCACCCACTTTCCTGTAACCACAAACTTCTGCTGAACACTCTAACACTACATTTTTAAACCTACCCCATACCTCTTCGACCCCATTGCCTATGCTCTCATTAGCCCATCTATCCTCCAATAGCTGTTTATATCTTACCCTAACTGCCTCCTCTTTTAGTTTATAAACCTTCACCTCTCTTCTCCTGATGCTTCTATTCTCCTTGTATCCCATTTATCTTTTACTCTCAGTGTAGCTACAACTAAAAAGTGATCTGATATATCTGTGGCCCCTCTATAACATGTACATCCTGAAGTCTACTCAACAGTCTTTTATCTACCAATACATAATCCAACAAACTACTGTCATTTCACCCTACATCATATCTTGTATACTTATTTAACCTCTTTTTCTTAAAATATGTATTACCTATAACTAAACCCCTTTCTATAATACAAAGTTCAATCAAAGGGCTCCCATTATCATTTACACCTGGCACCCCAAACTTACCTACCACACCCTCTCTAAAAGTTTCTCTACTTTAACATTCAGGTCCCCTTCCACAATTACTCTCTCACTTGGTTCAAAGGCTCCTATACATTCACTTAACATCTCCCAAAATCTCTCTCTCTCTCCTCTACATTCCTCTCTTCTCCAGGTGCATACATGCTTATTATGACCCACTTTTCGCATCCAACCTTTACTTTAATCCACATATTTCTTGAATTTACACATTCATATTCTCTTTTCTCCTTCCATAACTGATCCTTCAACATTACTGCTACCCTTAGCTCTAACTCTCTCAGATACTCCAGATTTAATCCCATTTATTTCCCTCCACCGAAACTCCCCTACCCCCTTCAGCTTTATTTCGCTTAGGGCCAGGACATTGAACTTCTTTTCATTCATAACATCAGCAATCATCTGTTTCTTGTCATCCGCACACATCCACGCACATTCAAGAAACCCAGTTTTATAAAGTTTTTCTTCTTCTCTTTTTTAGTAAAAGTCTACAGGAGAAGGGGTTCTAGCCCTTTGTCCCCCATTTTAGTGCCTCATACGACACGCCCTGGCTTTGGAGGAAAGATTCTTTTTTCCCCTTCCCCATGGACAATGAAGAAAAAAAAAGAAGAACTAGAGCTATTTAGAAAAAATTTGAAAAGTAGATTTTAGGGAATTTTTATATTTTGATGTGCGTGGGCTGTAAGTGTGACAAAGTGTAAGTAGGAAATAGCAAGGGTTCCCTGTTATCTAGATGTTTATGGACAGAAAAAAACACCAGCAATCCTAAAATTCATGCAAAAACAGTTAAGGTTTCTCTTTCACAGTCATTTTGGGAGGAAGGGGGAGTCCCTTTCCCCGGGTGGTTGCTGTTACCAAAAATATACCTACTTTAAAATTTTTTTTTAGTAAAGATTTTTTAAATTTTAGGGGTTTTTTTTGTATTTTCCAAATCTTATGTTACTACAAATGATATTTGGCCCATTGGAAAAAAAAAATTTCCCCTCTGTTGTGTGGGACGTTGTAATAAGAAATTTAGCATTTGTAAAAAAAAGGGTTTTTAAAACTCAGATATTGGCCAAAAATTTGAGGCAAAACTTAGGATAACTTAAGGGTAAATTTGGGAAAACCTTTGTATTAGGGGAAATTTTTTTTTTCAGTCATTTTGGGGGAGTTTTTTAGTGTTAAAAAATTTGGGGAAAATTTAAAAAATTTAGGGTAAGTCTGTTTTTTTTTTGGGGTTTTGGGTGTGTTCGTGATACAGAAGAAGAATGTGTGGTTTTCACATAGCTGATGATGGGGGTGTGTTAGGGAGATAAGGTGTTTTTTAATGGTAGCTTTGAAAATGGTGGTTGAGTCTTTGGTTCTAGAGATTTCTGTCAGGGAGTTGCAGATTTTTGGCCCTTTCATGTACATACATTGAGTTTTTGAAGAGATTTAGCCAAACACAAGGAATGTCATAGAGATTTCTGTGTCTGCTATTATGTCTGTGGGTCCTGTTGCAACTATCAAGAAAGTGTTTTAGTTCGGGGGTTAATATTTGAATTTAAGGTTCTGTAAATGTAGGTTGCACAGTAGTAGGTGTGAATGTTTTATACATTGAATAGGTTTAGGTCTTTGAAGAGTGGGGGGAAGGGGTGTTGTTTAGCATTGAATTGCATGATAATTCTTACTGCAGCTTTTTGTTGGGTTATTATTGGCTTTAGGTGGGTTGCTGTTGTTGATCCCCAGGCACAAATAGCATAGGTGAGGTAGGGATAGATGAGTGAATAGTGTAGTGTGAGTAGGGCTGGCTGTGGTACAAAATAACAAATCTTTGAGAGGATCCCAACTGTTTTGGAGGCGTATGAAGTCCAGTGATGGAGTGAATGATGGTGAAAGTTTTTCTTTTTCGGGCCACCCTTGGTGGGAATCGACCGGTGTGTTAATAAAATAAAATAAAATAAAATGAAGTACAGTGATAGCCCTAGTTTTGAACTGCTTCCAACTCGACCAGTTATGTAAGTGTATTATTGTAAGTGCTTTTGTAAGTGTATTTTTGGTGGTCTGAAACGGACTAATCTAATTTACACTATTCCTTATTGGAACAAATTCGTTCGGTAACAGCACTTGAACAGCCTTCTGGAATGAAGAAAGTTCGAAACTCAGGGTACCACTGTACATCATACAGAGCTCAAGGGTTAAGCATGTAAAAGGGAGGCAGCTGGTATACTTATTATAAAATAACACTCACAACTGAATAAGAGACATTGGGTCCCCATTCATTTGCATATAGTGCACAGTTTTACAAAATGTAACATTAACTTTTATGTTTCCCTCATAAAGTATGGCTTGCAATTTTGAGAATAAATAACTCTTGCAGGTGCTGAGGTACTGGCGGAGTATTTACTTGATTGTGGGAAGAATGAGGTGGTGTTGTGGTACCGTGGTGAAGCACCTCCACGACCACTACTGCTCTCACTTGTTGAAGTAGGAGTATCATGTTCACTGGTTCTGTAAGTACAGTACAGTAAAATACACACATAACTGAAGCAGTAGTATCATTGTCACTGGTTCAATAAGTACAGTACAGTACACACATTGAAGCTGTAGTGTCTTGTTCACTGGTTCAGTAAGTACAGTACAGTACATGCATAATTGAAGGAGTAGTATCATCTTCACTGGTTCAGTAAATACAGCTCGATCGCTAGAGCACTCGGCTCACAGACTAAGATCCGAGTTTGAATCTCCTCCGGTACGGCTGGAAAACATTAGGGACGTGTTTCCATAAGACACCTGCTGTTCCTGTCCCAGTTCACCCATCAGTTTAAAATGGTTACCTGGGTGTTAGTCCCACACCTTTCCCTAACACCCTATCATTCACTTTTTTCACTACCCCATCTATAAATATTGTACTGTATGTTAACCCTTTGACTGTCGCGGCCGTATATGTACGTCTTACGAGGTACCGTGTTTGACGTATATATACTCATAAATTCTAGCGGCTTCAAATCAAGCAGGAGAAAGCTGGTAGGCCCACATGTGAGAGAATGGGTCTGTGTGGTCAGTGTGCACCATATAAAAAAAATCCTGGAGCACGCAGTGCATAATGAGAAAAAAAAAACTCCGACCGTTTTTAATTAAAATGCCAACTTTGTGGTCTATTTTCGTATAGTATTTATGGTTGTATTCTCATTTTCTTGGTCTCATTTGATAGAATGGAAAACATATTATAGAAATAGAGGTGATTTTGATTGATTTTACTATAAAAAGAACCTAGAAATGGAGCTCAAAGTAGGGGAAATGTTTGATTTTTGCCAATGTTCAGAAGTAAACAAATGATGCCATTTTCCAATAAATGTCCAATTAGCCATTCTGATATGCAGTCACGAATGGGTTGATGTTATTTATACAATTATTACAGTTTTTGCAGTAGTCTGCATAATAGTAAGTCTTCTATTTTTTGTTTGAATAAAAATTCAAAATAGAAAGCAAGAATAATATCAGAGGGGACTGGAGATGTGACTGATGAACAAAGAAGATGTTATTTTAGAGCCAGGAATGTCTGCATTGTTCATTCTGGACCTTATTTTGAAATTGTCATATTTTTTAGTTTTCGTGAAATTGGCCAAATTCCAAATTTCTGACCACATTATTAGGTAGTTGAAATCGGTAAGTGGGCAGTTTCTTGTACTCAATCGATAGAAAAAATGGAGTTCTAAAGAAATAGCTATGAGTTTGGGCGACTGGAACAATGGAATTAGCTGAAAATAGGGCTCAAAGTTGGCGAAATCGCCGATTTGTAAACATCGCTGAGGTTGCTAACTTCGCGAGAGCATAATTCCGTCAGTTTTCCATCAAATTTAGTTTTTTTGGTGTCATTACAGTCGGGAAAAGATTCTCTATCATTTCATAAGAAAAAATAATTTTTTTTTTTTTAAATTTTGCGACACCAGGAGACACCTCAGGATTGGGGGTTGCGACAGTCAAAGGGTTAAACAACCATGGTGGCATTACACATCCCTGTCTAAGCCTACTTTGGAAAATTATCTCCCTCTCTATCCATATTCCTAATTTTAACTTTGCTATACACATGAAAACTTTTTACTGCTTCAATAACCTACCATGTATTCCATACATTTGCAACATCTGCCACATTGCTTCCATATCCACCCTGTCATATGCCTTTACAAAATCCATAAATGCAGTGAAAATTTCCTTACTTTTATCTAAATGTTGCTCACTTATATGCTTCAGTTTAAGCATAGTGAGCAACCCTTCCTACAGTCTTATTCATCTGTGATCCTGCTGTCTGTCCTGCCCTTAATTCTTTCAATAATAACTCTGCCATACACTTTATATAGTATATTCAACAGTCTTATTCCTCTTTAATTCTTACACATTCTTTTATCTTCTATTACCTTATACAAAGGATGTGTGCATGCTCCTTGCCATTCCCTAGGTTCCTTCCCCTATTTCATACACATATTGAACAACATACAGAACAACACTGTGAAAAAATAGTGAAATTCCAAGCTCTTGTGATTTCTCACACAAAAGGGCTTGGAATTTTGCTATTTTTTCACGGTGGATATTCTGCACATTGTGATATAACCTGTTTACCGTGATCTTATTTCATATATTGAACAACGGCACCACCCACTCCAAAACTATATCCCCACCTTCATTTAACATTTCTGTCTTGATCTCATCTATCCCAGCTGCTTTATCCGCTGCCTCGCACACCTTCCCCACACTCACATCTGGCTTTGCCTAACTTCTACATGATGTTATATTTTGGTATAAGAGAACTTTTGTGCATATAAACAATTGCCTGACTGTTATTACTTTGAAAAGCTAGTTTTATTTGACAGTAATCATCATTAATGACAATTTCATTGTGATTAGTAGATTGCATGTTACTTGACCGTCTATGTATGACCATCTTCCTCTAATAATAATGGACAGTAAAGCTGGAATGTTAATTTTAAATATTTCTGCTATAAGTGTTTTGATCTTGATGAGATCACTACCCAAAATTGTTTTGATACAGAAATTTAGAAAATATGGTCAGTGTGTGATAATCTTAATGCAATGTGGATAAACCTGTGTTTTTGCAAATTTAAAAGTACAGTAGGGCCCCACTTACACGGCAGGTTAGGTTCCAGGCTATTGCCGGAAAGCAGACATCCCCAGAAAGCAGAATGCCATTTTTTCCACTTATAACCTGGAGTTTACCTGGAGAGAGTTCTGGGGGTCAACGCCCCCGCGGCCTGGTCTGTGACCAGGCCTCCTGGTGGATTAGAGCCTGATCAACCAGGCTGTTACTGCTGGCTGCACGCAAACCAACGTATGAGCCACAGCCCGGCTGGTCAGGAACCGACTTTAGGTGCTTGTCCAGTGCCAGCTTGAAGACTGCCAGGGGTCTGTTGGTAATCCCCCTTATGTATGCTGGGAGGCAGTTGAACAGTCTCGGGCATATAAATGCCAGATAATAAGTATACACTAACATATATTAAGTTAGCAATAGAACTAGGCATTAAAAACAACAAAAAGTAAAATACACACACAGTACGCCCATTACTTACCTTAAAATATTTGTAGTCATAATGTAGGGTGAGAGGTGAGTTTTATTTGTAGGAAGTCAGGTTTGGGAGGTATGGTAGCCAGCCAGGTCAGCCCACCCCACCGCACCTACACATACAGTGGAACCTCAAAAATTCGAACTGCTCCCAACACGACCAATTATGTAAGTGTATTTTTGTAAGTGCTTTTATAAGTGTATTTTTGAGGGTCTGGAATGGACTAATCTAATTTACATTATTCCTGATGGGAATAAATTCATTCGGTAAAGGCACTCGAACAGCCTTCTGGACTGAAGAAAGTTCAGTATTTGAGGTTCCACTGTAATATACTATGATATTTAATTAAACGCCCCAAGAGCTATAAAATACATATAGAGTGGACCCTCGGCCAACGATATTAATCCGTTCCAGAGAGCTTATCGTTAGACGAATTTATCGTTAGTCAAATTAATTTTCCCCATAAGAAATAATGGAAATTCAATTAATCCGTTCCAGACACCCAAAAGTACGAAAAAAAAGTTTTTCACATGAAATATACATTTTCCTACACAGAAAAAGAAGGATACATGCCCAATAAATAATGTACTGTACTCAATGAAGAATAAATGACACTTACCTTTATTGAAGATATAGTGATGAGATGGGAGGAGGGGAGATGATGGAGGTGTATTAACCCTTTCAGGGTCCGTCCTGTAGATCTACGGCTTTACGTTCATGGTCCAAACCATAGATCTACGCCAAAATTCTAGTGGCGTCAAATTTAGCGGGAGAAGGCTGGTAGGCCTACATCTGAGAGAATGGGTCTGGTTGGTCAGTGTGCACACCATAGAAAAAATCTGGATGCCTGCATGGCATTGTGGGAATGCCGGCAAAGTAGCTTTGTTCATTGTGCCTGGCGGCAAGGAAGCTCTCACTCCCCACTCACTCTCCGGGCGAATTCTGACTCCCCTCTTCACAACTTACAGCTCTAAGACTGATGGAAGTGGAGCTGAAGACGAATTCTTTAGTTTTGAACCATATGGTACCATTGTGCCATATGGTACAATGGTACCATATGGTACCATTGTACCATTGGTGCCATGTCATACAATGGTATATGGTACAATGGCATCGTATGGTAGAGTGGTACCATATGGTACAATGTACCATATAGTACATTGTACCATATGGTATATTATACCATATGGTACAGAGACCCTAATGGAAACAAGTCTGACTGACTTTTTTGGGTTATCCTAGGTTCTCCAAACATATGCTGCTAAGTATGATATTCTATGTAACTTTATTTGTGTATAACTAAATAAACTTACTTATGATGCCACATGCACTTGAGTAAGTTTATTCAGGTGTACAGAAATACAATTACATAGATTATCATACATAGCAGCATATGTATAAAATCCTAGGATAACCCAAAAAAGTCAGGGTGACTTATTTCCATAGTTATCCCTGTATCTGCACCATATGGTGTCCTGTACTGTATGGTACCCTGTGCCATATGGTACCCTGTGCCATATGGTACCCTGTACCATATGGTATCCTGTACCATATGGTACCCTGCACCATATGGTATCCTGTACCATATGTTATCCTGTACTGCATAGTACCCTATACCATATAGTACAATGTACCATATGGTACCCTGCACCATATGGTACCCTGCACAATATGGTACCCTGCACCATATGTTATCCTATACTGCATGGTACCCTATACCATATAGTACAATGTGCCATATGGTACCCTGTAACATATGATACTGTGTACCATATGGTCAATAGGTGTTGGTGGCATGAGACACCAGCCAAGACTGAGTGAGTGGCCACACAAGCTAGCTACTGACTCTGAGACGAAGTGCTTTGTCATCCACCTCAAGGAACACGTCAAGTTCCTGTACACTTGTAAATATATAATGGAACATTACTAATATA